AGGGAAGGGAGAAAAGGAGGGAGAGGGTTTAGAACTCAAATTTTAAAAAAAAGAATGTTAAAAATTGTTTTATTATTGCAATTGGGAAAAAATAAAATATTTTTTTAAAAAAAGATTTCCAAGCAAGAAAGTGATACATTGACCCTTTAATTTATCAGAATCTGGATACTTGAGAAATAGAACCTCATTTTCCTTCTTCTTTTATCTCCCATTCCACCATGACATACACATAGGTGTGTTACAGAGAATTGTCTTTGAACTTGGAGCTGGAAGAGAGAATACTATGTTGAACAAGACCAGAGACAGACACTATGACACCAGGTCATTTATTTGTTGGCATTAGAACAGTCTCTGGTTAGATTTTACCTTTTTCCATAAATCCTATCCCAAAGCTACCTGGATCCTGAGACAAAGGAAGATATAGTCACCTCTCAATTATCCACTCAAATGAAAAATAATAACAGGTCCCATTTCTGTAGTACTTTGAGGTTTACAAAGCACTGTCCTCATTACAATCTTGTGAGTTAAGTAGTACTAATACTATTATCCCCTTTTACAAATAAGGAAACAGAAGCTCAGAGAGGTTAAGTGACTTGACCAACATCACACAGCTAATAAATACAGGGTATCCCAAATGTTCCAGTGCAGTTTGAAGCTATTGAAGCTTAAAACTGTATTAGAGCCAGGATTCACCCAGGTCTCCTGATGCCGAATCGAGTGCTTTGACACTTATGCAATGCTGTCATATTGAAGTTGCCAGATGGTGGCATAATCTTCAACATTTAAGCATCCGCTAAGCACCTACAGAATATATGATCCCCCACACAACTTCAATCTCCTTCTCTACCCCCAAACCAATTTAGTTTAGTATTCCCCAACCATCTCATATGAACCGATTAAGGATGGTAGACAGGTATATGAATAATTCCAAAGAGCAATTCGTCCATAAAATATCCTGGGGAAGAGCATAAAAGAGATCGATTTACTACAAATGATCCTCAGACCAGATAACTGTCATCCAAAGAAATTAGGAGTTGACTCATATTTTAGCTAAGTTTGTGTCCTCGTCAAGATAGCTATAAAAATAAACCAGTTGAACTTAGACATATCCTCCTACTCCAAATAGAAAACTGAACCAATTTCCAGGGAATGAATAGGTAATCATAGAATATTAGAGCTGGAAGGAACTTTATAACTTATATAGACTTCTACAGGTGGAAGGAATATAGTGTTAAAACATACAGCATAAAATATTAGGCCCAGGAGAAACCTAAGGACCTGAAATGTTTGAGCTAGAAGGGAACAAATGTTGACATGATGATTGACTTTGAAAACCCAAGAGAATTAACAAAATGAGTTTATCAATAACTTCATTAAAATAGCAGGATACTCAGTCATGAAAAAAGCTTTTTTTCTTTCTTTACTTTTTTTTTTTTTAAGATTGGGTCTCCCTATTTCACCCAAGCTGGAAATAGAAGAATGACTGCTGGGACTAACCCCACTGCTGATTGGTGTAGAGGCTTTGACCTGCTTTATTTCTCCTCTGGGTTTAGTCACCCTTTCTTAGGTAGCTTAGTAGCCCCTCTCCTCCTGGGATCTTAGCATACTGGTCCCCAGTTTAGTGTGTACATCCAATTGGCTTTAGCCTTTCTGCAGGATGAATTCCTGAACTCGAGTAATCCACCTGTATCAGTTTCCCCTGTAGTAGGGATTACAGGTATGTACCATCAAGCTCAATAAACATTTTTAAAAGGGCTTACTATGTGTCAAACACTTTGCTAAGTACTAGGGATACAAAAAGAAAGGAAAAACAGTCCCTACCCTCAAGAAGGTAACATTCTAATGTGGGAGACAACATGTAAATAACTGGGTATGTGCAAGATAGAGGATAGTCTCAGAGAAGACACTAGTATCTAGAGAGACTAGGAAAGGCTTCCTGAAAAGGTAGTATTTGAGCTGTCATGAAGGAAGTAAAAAAAAAATAATAATAAAGTCGTTAGCATTTCTATACAATTGTTTAGTCATTTTCCAGTTATGTCCAACTTTTCATAACCCCATTTGGGGTTTTCTTGCCAAAGATACTGGAGTGGTTTGCCGTTTCCTTCTCCAGCTCATCTTACAGATGAAGAAAATGAGGCAAACAGGATTTAGTCACTCGCTTAGGGTCACACAGCTAGTAAGTACCTGAGGCCAGATTTGAACTCAAGAAAATGAGTCTTCCTGACTCTAGGACTCATGTTCCACTCACCATACCACATAGCTGCCCTGCTTGATACAGTTACAAATACAAAAACCAAGAGGAAATGATAATATGAGAAATTCCATCAAAACAATTATAAAATACACAATATGTGTGAGAGTTAATTTACAAAACACACTCAAGATTCATATAAATACTGCTACAAATTACTTGACAAAAACAAAAGATTTAAATAATTGGATAGAATCCATGGTTGTACTATATCAATATAATAAAACTGATACTAGCAAAATTAATTTGTAGACTTAGTGCTATACCCAACTACCAAAGGATGCTTTATAGAATTTAACAAAATAATAACAAATTTATTTGGATGAACTAAAACCTAAAACTAAAGGAAAATAAGGAAAAAAGTAGGAATGAAGGGACCATAATGTTATTAGACTTCAAGCTATAAGTTTAAAACAAAAAAACATTTTAGGGCATATACCCCTAAGAAGTCAAAGACAGAAAGAAAGATCCTACATTTACCAAAGTATTGTGGTAGCAAATAGCTGGAAACCAAGTAGGCGCCCATCACTGAGGGAATATTTGAACAAACTTGGCAAATGAATGCATTGAAATATTACTATGCAGTAAGAATTTTTTTCCATTGCAAAGGAGTAGGGGAGTGAATCATATTTCTTCTTTGTGATTATGCTTGTTTACTATAAGCTTGCAATATTCACTTTCAATTATTTTGTAGTTGTTCTTTCCACTTAACAATGTTGTAGTCATTGTGGACATTGTTTCCTGGGCTCTTCATACTTCACTCTCCATAAGTTTATGTAAGTAGTTCCATCCTTTTCTGTATTTGTCATTTCTTACAACACAGAAATATTTAATTACGTTCATGTACCACAATTTGTTTAGCCATTCCCCAATGGGCATCTACTTTGTTTACAAGTCTTTGCTACCACAAAAAGTGCTGCTATTAAATATTTTGGTTTCGACGAGGACTTTCCTTTTTATCAATGATCACTTGGGATATATCTCTAGTAGTAGAATCTCTGGGTCAAAGGGCAAGGATATATTTGTCTCATTTGCATAATTCCAATTTGCTTTCCAAAATGACTGTACTAATACATAGCTCCACAAACAACACACTAGGTTATCTATCTTCCCACAACCCTCCAACACTGACCATTCTCATCTTTTGTCACCTTTGTCAATTTGTCTGATTTTCATTTCTCTCAATGATTTGGAGCATACTTTCTCATATACTCGTTAATATTTTGCAACTCTTTTTTTTTGAGAACTGTTTGTCCATATTCTTTGATGACTTATCTACTGGGGAATGGTTTTTGGTTATGGATATATATGTATGTATACATATATATGTATATGTGGGTGTGTATATAAAACATTTATATATACATACATGTATATGCACATACATATAAACACATATGTATTCACATACATATGTACATTTGTTAGTCATCTGTCTTGGATGCCAAACTCTTATCTGAGAAACTAGATGAAATTTTCTTTCCCCATTTTATTCTCTTCTTATCCTATTTGTTTGTGTAAAGCTTTTCAATCTCATATAATCAAAATTATCTGCTTTATCTGTTAATATAACTTATTTTTTAAAAAGATAAATATGAGGAACTCAGAAAGACATGAGAAAATTTGTATGAACTGATTGAGAGTGAAATAAGCAAAACCAAAAGAATAACACACAATAATGCAGAGAAGTAAATTTAAAAAAACTAGTCTCTTAGAAAGAAGAAGAAGAAGAAGGAGGAGAAGGAGGAGGAGGAGGAGGAGGAGGAGAAGAAGAAATATATATTTTCTTCAGCAGAGTTGTATTACTATGAGGATGAAAATGTACAGATTATCAAACATAGTCACTGTATTGATTGATTCTGCTCAACTGTTTTTCTCTGTTACAAAGGATGATTCCATTTTAGGGGTTAGGAGAGCTATCAAAAAATGATTATGATCTAAAATAAAAAGCTATCAACAAACCTAACTTTTAAAAAAAAAGTATCTAGCTGACTCTCTATATTTTAAATATAAATTAAACAGACCAAGGTTAAACAATTTTGTCCAAGGTCACAGAGCTGGTAAGGGACAATGCTAGTACTTGAAAACAAGTTTCCTAAGCACCAGTGTGATTTCTGCCACCACACCACACACTGCCTCAGGGGGAAAGGACTCTCAGGTGGAGTCTGCTCTCTACCATCACCTCTCGGCCAGCTGAACATGTCACAGTGGTCATCCTTCTCAAGTGATGTTATTAGGTGAGTCTACTAGGGCTTAGATTACACAGACCCTGGTCTCATGTAATGAGATCTTTAGTCTCTTGGAGAATAGTGTTCTCATAGCACCAACATCAGAAACAGCTTTTTTTGAGGGTGGAAATTATCTTTCAGAGCCCCTGAAATCACACCTATTTGTGAAATCAGCCCCGGAAAAAAGAGTCACAGACGCTTTTAAAACCATGTTCCTTGAGGAAAAGCATGCCAGAATTCTTGGTAGGTCCTTAAGCTGTGTCCTTCAAAAGCTGCATTTGCTATTGGAAATCAAGTAGGGACAGGACTGGCAAATAGACTACACAGATCAAGCGCCCCCCCCCCATAGTTTCTCCTGCCTTTCCCCTCTTCCTACACAAAAGAGTAACAAAAGAAAACTAGCAGCAGAGGTTGAAGTTTCAGGTGAGGAGAGCAGGATTTGGATGGAGCTGGCTCTCAGTAGCATCACAAACAGTGTATTGACAATGTGATGTTGCTACCATTATGAAGTCATGATTTCAACACCTGCAGGTGTCATATCTTCCCAGTATGGAAAGAAATCGACCAGGCCTCCTTCAAGTAAGTGCCCATCACATCCTCCCTCTCCAATATACATACACTCAACCTGACAATTTTTTTCACCAACGTCCCATTACAATATCCACTGAACCAGTCACTCCATCTTAATTGGTTTTTCCCATGCAAAATAGCTAACATATTTTGGGTATATGATATGTCAAGTGGAAGGAAACAGTGGGTGGAGGATAAGGAAATCTAGCTTCTGGCCTCTGCTATTAACTAGGAGTACATATGACCTTAAGAAAGTCACATCCCTTCTCTAGGTCCCAATTTCCGCCTTTGAGAATGAGAGAGTTGGACTAGGTCACCTTGAAAGTTTCTTCTAGTTCTTGCATTCTAGGTTCTAAAGACTGCTAGATTTGGAGTCAAAGGACTTTGAACAAGTCACTTCTCTGGGCCTCAGTTTCCTCAACTGACAAATAAGAGAGTTGGGATAAATGACCTTTAAGGTCCCTTCCAGCTCTGAGAACAATAATCTAGTTAGTCCTAACATTCTGTGTTCTAACTTTAATGTCTCCTCTAGCTCTTTCTTTCTACAAACCCCCTTCTAGCTCTAAATTTAAATACATTGAAAGGAAGTTTCTAGATTTTTAAAATTGCAGCCTTCTGTACAGAAATACCTCCACATATTCTCAGCTATCATCATTCATTGTGTATATGCTCACTGTATACTAAGCACCAGGAAGGATAGAGAGCAGAAACAATGGTCTAATGCCAGTACATAGCACCTTGGAATGGGCCAAGAAAATCCTACATCCCTTAGCTCTATCTCTACACATTCCCCACCTGGGCCAATTCATCTCCATGTACCTCTCTCCCCACGGGTAAAATGGGGCAGTGATGTTTCCTATTGATTTAATTTAATTCCATAAACATTTATTAAGCACCTCCTACATGCTTGGTACTGGGATGATAAAATAATGAAAAAAGATGAAGCCCCTAACCCCCAACAATATCACCAAGGTCATCAGGGAGGTAGGAACTGTAAAAGGCCTCTTTTCTAACCCTTTCCCACATCATTTCTTACTTCCCTGTTGCTATCAAACATAAAAGATTCATCTAGGAAGCAAAATTTACCAGGGAGGCAGAATTTGCACACCAAAATTCTACTTACAACTTTTAGATGGATTTTTTCTGCAAATTTCCCTGAGACTATCGAAGCCCAAACTCCTTCTGCCCTAACAATACCAATCTTTCAGAGCCACTCCTGCTTATATCCCCCCAAAAAAAACCTCTTTTCCCCTCCTACCTGTGATTCTCCTCCATGTCAGCCTTCTCTCTCCCTTGTCCTTGTTCTCTTCAGCCCTACTTTTGCTGTGTCCTCTTGAACCCTGGCTCTTTGGTAACCAATTCTCCTTCATCCTTGATCTCTTCCTCCATAACACTTCTGCTTCCTGGGAGTAGCTCTGAAACTCGGCTTTTTTCTCAAATATTCCCCATTCCTTTACCAACCACCCAGTGCTGGTTCCTACGCAGCCCAACTCACAGAGCCTAAAAGAAGAGATGGTATGCTCCCTGTTCTCCACTGGTTCTCTGAATCCTTCTTTGGCCATTGTCACTCAACAATCTCTCCATTGACTTCATGCCATCTGATTAGATCATCCTGTCTCAGTCATTGTCACTGCCTTGTCACCTCTAGGACACTCTGCTATCTTCCTCAGTGATTTCAGCATCTGTACTATACTTTTCCTCTCTACCCCAACTACTGTCATCTTCCAACGTTTGTACCATTTCAATACTTTAAATATTTACAATCATAATAATTTAACTAATTAATATATTTTAATTTATAAGCAGTAGTTTATATATTGTTATATTATCATGATACATTATTATGTAAGAATAGATTATGAATTTATGATGTATGTAATTGGTAATTAATAAATAACTTAAATAATTTAAATACTTATCATATTTACCAAGTACTTACCATATTCTCTAATACCATGGTCTCTCAGTTCCTCCATCTCTTCAACTCCATGATTTCCATCTCCACTCTACCTCAGTCACCCACAGGAATAATCATGTGAAACTTAGCCCTCATTGTCATCTCAGCTGCTCATTTCCAAGATCCTGAAGTCTAAAACGTTCTTCTTTGATCATGATATCCTTACTCTCCCACCACCTCGTTCTTCCTGAACTTATTCTGTGTCCTCACTGTGCCCTTTATTCTCTCTTTCTTTCCCTATTCTCTTGAAAAGATCTCAGTTTCCCCAAGACAGAAAGAGCACACCAAGGGAAGTATGTTTTTACAAGTCTCTAGGGTCTGGGTGTCAACGAACATTCTAGGGGCCAGCTTCCTTGCATGTCTGCAACTCTGGGGAGACCTCCAGATCACCATTCAATAGCACACACTTGACTTTCTCAACTTCCTCCCTCCTACTTCTCTAGTAAAGCTCAGCAGTCTTTCAGCCAATCAGGAGTCTTGCCCCCTTTCTCACATATAGAATAAAGTATCACAGGTCTGTCCTTCCAGAAAACCACCCTAGGCCTAGACAGAAGCGAGATTATACTGCAGACCAACATCTCTATCCTATATTCACTCCTTTCCCTATATAGTCATGACTCTTCATCAATCATTTCAACAAGGTAACACCTTCCGATTTCAAATCTCTTGCCACTCTGTCTTTTTGTCCTTCTTACTTACATAATTTCTATTCCTGGGTCAACCCTCCACATGCTTTCTTTATTTCTAATCTGAAGCCTCTGAACATTCATGAAAAAAAGTCTTAAAACTGTGCTGATTGGGTCCATTAAATTCATGCTATCTAACTTTAAATTATTATCTGGCAGGCTCCTTGTTACATCACACCATCCACAGCATCTGTTCTAAATCCTCTCTCTGTCTCTCTCTGTCTCTTTCTCTCTCCTACTCTCCTCCCCTCCCCTCCCCTCCCCTCCTTTTCTCTTCTCTCTTTCTCTCTCTCCATCTCCCTCTCTGTCTCTCTCTCTCCCTTCTCCCCTCTCTCTGTCTCTCTCTGTCTCTCTCTCTGTCTCTCTCTGTCTCTCTCTCTCTCTCTCTCTTCTCTCTCTCTCTCTCTCTCTCTCTCCTCTCTCCCTGCCCCAAAGGACCTTGGTTCCTACCTTACTGAGAAAATAAAGTTAATCCATGGAGACCTTCCTCATCTCAATCCCAAGCCTCAAAATCTTTCTAAATCTTCCCATATTCTTTTCTGTTATATTGTACAGAGAAGAATGTGCTGAATCTGTAATCAGGAAGACCTGAGTTCAAACCCAGTCTCAGGCACTTCCTAGCTGTGTGACCTTGGGCAAATCACTTAACCTCTGTCTGCCTCAGTTTCCTTATCTGAAAAAATGGGGATAAAACTCTTGCTCATTGCTTCTTGTAATAATCCTTATGTAATGGAAAACGGCCCGCTGCCATCAGAGCCTATCCTGCCTGTTCCCAGCAATGTGCCCTCATTGGCCTGTACCCTGTTAGGCTTATCTTCCTTCAAGGCTCAGCTCAGATGTGACCTTCTCTGTGAAGCCTTCCCTGAAGCCTTTAGTTGTTAATGCTCTCTCCCTCCTCAAACTACCTTGAATTTAAAGACTTATCTATATACATACATGTATCTCCTCTCCTCTTCTCCTCCCCCCCCCCGCCCCGGAGAATTTAAGCGGTCCAATGGAAGAAACAGCTTCATTTTTACCTTTGCTTCCTCAGCAGTGGCTTAGTAAATAGAGTGCTGGGCCTGGAGTCAAGAAATCATGAGCTCAAATCTGGCCTCAGACACTAACCATATGAGCTTGAGCAAGTCACTGTCTGCCTCAGTTTCCTCAGCTGTAAAATAGGGATAATAATAGCACCTATTTCACAAGGGTATCGAGAGGAGTAAATGAGATATATTTGTAAAGCACTTATCACAGTGCCTAGCACATAGTAGGTGTTTACTAAATAAAATGCTTATTTCCTTCCTTCCTTCCAGAGACTAAAAATATTGTTAAGCACTGTTGTTTGCTTTGTTTGGACCTGTGATTTCACCAATACAGGGAACTCCCAGTGTAGAAACTCTCCACAAAAAAAGCAGGTCAGCAAATCATCTGTAGAATGCGGCCTAGGTCATTGAGCAGTTAGATGATTTGCCTTTGGTCACACAGCTAGCTAGTGTGGAGTGGCAGCTCTTTTTGTGTGTGGGACAAATGAGATGGTACTAGGCCCCAGGCAACTCTCAAATTCTATGATTCCATGTTAGAAGCAGGACTTGAACCCAGTCTTTCCTGACTTTAAACCTGACCCCTGACCCACCAAACCATCTGCTTCTCACCTCACATACAGTAGGCACTTTTAATACATGTTGGGGGGGGGGGTTTATTTAACTTAAATTTATCTAGCTGAATGCTAGAATGGAAATAGAAACCCCTTGATTCCCTCAGAATCATTCTTGTCTCCCTTTTCTAGAGAAGATAATAAAGACTTCATGCATTTCCCCAGCACTAACGAGGTCAAGTGTATTTGTTTATTACCTATTCCTCATTTTCCCAAGGACTCTAGGTTTTATTTGGGGACACTCTTCCCATGGAAGCACTTATCACTGTTCAATGAGCCATATAGGCCTTCTTCAGCTGGAAGGGGGATGTTAGTAGTTCTATTTCATACAGAGCCTCAAAAGTTTAGTTTTCCTGCCCAGATAATCTATTTTGGGACAAGAAGTGTTTGATCTTTTATAATTGTACAATTAGGGAGACAGAAGAGGGAAAAAAAGTTCACTTAATATGCATCTTCTCCCATGAGTGGTGCTCTATGAATTTGAAACAAAGCCTTGGACAGATGATACCAAGCTGGAAACTTCAAGTACACCCAGGCATGGGGACCTGAGGCTCAACCTAGCTAAATATTGGGGAAATTCATCACCAAAGTGCTGGCCACAAGTGATGAATTTGTTCAATCACAGCAACTCTTAGCTGCACTTTGAATTTGAAAAGACAATTTGAGACAATACATGAATATCAAAATGGCATAGAGGAAATAAACAAAGAATGTTTCATCAAATACCAAAATACTGAATAGTGCCGGTCCTTTTTCTTTAAGCTAAATTTGACTTGTATAAAATTCCTAACCACACTTAGCATAAAACAAATGACATGGAAAATGATGAAGATAAGATTAGGTGGTCTCTAAGTTCCTTTCCAGGTTTAACATTCTATGATGATGTGATTGCAGGATTCCTACCAGATGCATGCAGCCAGTGCCAGGCAAGAGAAACATGAGAACACTAACATCCCTAGTGAAAATAGCACTACCGAGAACAAATATGAAAACACCCCCGTCCAGGTGTATGAGAATCATTGGACCAGGAGCCCTCAGAATAGATTGAGCACGCTACAAAATCCTCTGGTCCTCAATGCCCAGAATCCGACTGATGATGAAGTAGTCCGAATGAATAAGAAGCTGGAAGAAAAGAGACAAGAGTGGAAAAAACGGATGGAGATAGTGGCAAAAGGAAAGACTGAGCTGTTAAAAGGACAAAAATATGTAAGTAAGACCCTTCGCCCCAGAATGACACAGACTCTATAGGAACAGCCACCTGCCTTCTTCCTAGTAATCCTCACCTCTCCCATGGGAGTTTACAAAAGACAGGAAGAGCTAGCTCCGGTTTGCTTAAGTTTTTATTTGTCTGTGGGGGGTTTTTTTTGGGGGGGTGGGGACAATGGGGGTTAAGTGACTTGCACAGGGTCACACAGCTAGTAAGTGTTATGCGTCTGAGGGCAGATTTGAATTCAGGTCCTTCTGAATCCAGGGCCAGTGCTCTATCCACTGTGCCACCTAGCTGCCCCCTTGCTGAGTTTTATTGTTCCAGTGTCAACCCCTGCATACTCCCAACGCATCAGCTTAGGACAAATACAGGCAGTGTCCAAATTCCAAATGACTTGTAAAGTATGAAACCCAATTCTTAAAAAATACTGACTACGCACTTGTGTCTTCAGCATGTAGTTGACTTTTTCTAATATTGCTCTATATCAAGGGTTCTTAACCTAGGGTCTGTGAACTTTAAAAAAAATTATAATTGCATTTGAACGTAATTGATTTCCTTTGTAATCCTATGTTATTTTATTTTATTCATTTAAACATTTTGCTAAAAAGAGTTCATAGGTTGCACCAGACTACCAGAAGAGTCCATGATACAAAAGGTTAGGAACTTTGTTCTAGAGGCGAATGCTAATTAAAAATTACCCATGAATACTACTGTGCTATAAGAAATGATGAGCTTAGGAGCAGCTAGGTGGTGCAGTGAATAGAGCACCAGCCCTGGATTCAGGAGGACCTGAGTTCAAATCCGGCCTCAGACACGTAACACTTAGTAGCTGTGTGACCCTGGGCAAGTCACTTAACCCCATTGCCTAGCCAAAAAAAAAAAAAGAGAGAGAGAAAGAAATGATGAGCTCAATAATTTTAGGAAAAACAAGGAAAGACTTGCACAAAATAATGAAGAGCAAAATGAGCAGAACTAAGAGAACATTGTATACAGTAGCAACAATATTGTTTTAAGAACTTTGGGGCAGCTAGGTGGCACAGTGGATGGAGAGCTGGCCCTGAAGTCAGGAGGACCTGAGTTCAGATCCAGCCTCAGACCAAACATTTGGCACTTACTAGCTGTGTGACCCTGGGCTAGTCACTTAACCCCAATTGCCTAAAAAAAAAAAACAACCTTTGAGCAAATAAGTTATTTTGTCTATTATAAATACTCAAAGTAACTATAAAGGACATATGAAGAAAGAGACTATCTACATCCAGAAAAAGAACTGATAAATAGGAGTATGCATAGAATAATTATACACACACACACACACACACACACACCCCTATTTATGTCTAATTTATGTCTAGGGCAAGGGAGGGTAGGAACTGTCTTTTGCCTTTTTTTTATCCCCAACACTTAGCACAATGCCTGATGTGTAGTAGACACTTAATAAATGTTTATTGATTGACTTAGCTACTGTGATCAAGACAAATGATCCAAGACAATTTCAAAATAAAAGACACTGCCTACGTCCAGAGAGAAAACTGAGAAACTTTGAACACAGAGTGAAACATATATACTTTTTTCACTTTCCTCACTTTTACTGTTTTATTTTGCTTGTGTTTTCTTTTGCAATACAGCCAATATGGACTTATATGTTACTTTATTTCACATGCATAATCGATATAAAATTGCTGCCTTCTCAAAGAGGAGGGAGAGTTGGGAAAGAGAGAAGGAATCTGGAATTCAAAATTTTTAAAAATGAGTGTTAAAAAATTTTTTACATGTAATTGGGAGAAATAATTTTTAAAAGACTGTGATATAAAAACAACAGGCATTAATTAAACTTAAAACACAAGTATGAAATAAATATCAAACCTTTGATACTGAAGGAAAAAAAAGTAGTAATAGGAGGGTAGGGTTTTAGAACTAGATCTGTGATTTCATGAGTGTATGGAGCTCCCAGATGAGAAAGCTCCATCCACCAATGCAGGTTGGCACTGTCTTTGCAACTTATAGTCTTAGAGTTGCCCAGAGTCTCACAGTAATAATGATAGTAATGATGATAATAATAATAATAGAAGTTTCTATTATGATTTGCAAAGCACTTTATGTACATTATCCTTTTAGGTCATTTCACAGTAACCCTGTGAGTTTGGGAGGGGAAGTATCCCTATTTTACAGTTGAGAACATAGTTCTAGAAAGGTAAAATAACTTGGTACAGTGGGAAAACCACTGACTTTTGGAAGCAGAGAACCTTGGTTCAAATCTTGCTTCTGTAACTTTGTTCATGTGTGACCTTAGGTGAATGTGTATCCATCAGTCTGGATCTCAGTGTCCTCATAAGTAAAATGATGTTGGACTCAATCATCTCTGAGGTAACTTCCAGCTGTAACTTTATAATCCTATGACTTGCCTGAGGCCACCTAGTAAATGGCGAAGTTAGATCCTGAACCCAGATTTTCCGACTTCAGCTGTAGCGCTCTAATGTGCCTTTCTCATTGACTTCAATGCAGGATGATTCATTTAAAGCCTTAACCCACTTCTCCAACTCTACCGCCATGCCAAGTACAGGCACATATCAGGAAGAGGTAGCATTCTCCTCTGGACCAACTTAGAATGGGTCTTTGATAACTCACATTAGTACTGCATCTCTTTGCCTTTGAGAATGGCAGCGTTGTTTTTCTAAAGTATGTCTCCTTTTGGGTTCCAGAGAAATCAACTCATGAATAAGCTTTTGAAGGAGAGCAAAGTCAAAAAGCAGCAGGCCCTGGAAAAGTGGGCGGCAGATGTAAAAACGAACAAAATCAAACAGGAAGAGATAGAATATCTGACCCAAGAACTTAGAGACCTCCGTGACAGGTTTGTGTTCAAGGAGGGCTACAGTGACTTCTCTCCTGTCTTATAGCGCTATTAAGTGTGAGGAGTCTTGTAGATTCCCTCTCTTTCCTTTAAGATACAGCTCAAACCTTACCATCTGCATGAAGCCTTTCTGTGATCACCCCCACACCCCAATATCTTTCCTCTCAAACTCTCCAATATTTAACTAATTGGTATATGTCTGTTTTTATTTGCCTCATATTTACTCTACATCTACTAACCCAAATCCTTGCTGTCTTCCCCCATTAGAACATAAATTCCTTTCAGGTAGGGGCAGTTTCATTATTCTTTGTACTTGTATATCCAGGGTCTAGAATAAGGCCTGGCACATAGTAGATGCCAAAAAATCTTTGACTGATTGATTGAAAAGGCCTCTCAATAGCTCCTCTCTCAGTGGGGATTTTTTTTTTAGGCAATTGGGGGTAAGTGACTCATCCAGGGTCACACAGCTAATAAGTGTCAAGTGTTTGGTCTGAGGTCACATTTGAACTCAGGTCCTGTGCTTTATCCACTGCACCACCTAGCTCACCCTCTCAGTGGGGATTATTGCAAAGCTAAGATTATTGCAACATTACCTTCATTTGCAATCCTGATCCTCTTCCTGACTCAGAATAACTTACTCAGTCTCCTTTTCCACCAGATAGATGGTCCAGCAAGTTTGGGGTTTTATTATTTTGGTCTGCACCTGTGATTTGTTTTCTGTGGAAAAAGCTCCCTCCACACATGGAGAAAAGAAACCTAAAAGTCCTAGAGACTTGCCTAGGAGCACTCCACAGTTAAGTGACGTTTACAGGGCCACAACAACTATTATATCTCAAAGGCAGGATTTGAACTCAGGTTGCCCTGATTCTGAGGCCATACTTCTATCTACCACATTGTGCTTCTCTTCATCCATAGCTCTTGGTCTTCTAAGCATCTGATAGAAATATGGGGGGCAATTATGCTTTACTTCTACACCCATCTCCTACCATGCTGATGAGGCATCCCCAGCAACCCCCACTCAGGTCAGCCCTGGCCTTATTGCTTTACGAAAGGCAAAGGTGGGTGTCCTTACCAAGTTTCCACTGCAGAAACAATATAGAAAGAGCTAAAGAGATAGGAAGTTAGGAGCACAGAAGCAAAATTAAAACTATACATACATATATGTACATACATGTAAACTTCTAAGGAGGAGGAAGGGATTCTGGGAATATGGCAGAGTAGGTCAGAAAATTCTAAGCTCTCCAGATTTCCTCCACAAACAAAACAAAATAGCACCTCAGAGTGACTATAAAGCCAATGCAAAAAAAGCAGGGGTAGCAATCATGATATCAGACAAAGTCAAAGCTAAAATAGACTTAATTAAAAGAAATAAACAGAAAAAACTATATTATGATAAAAGATACCATAGATAATAAAGCAATAGCAATATTAAATGTATATGCACCAAATACCATACATGGCATCTAAATTTTTAAAAGAAAAGTTAAATGAATTACAGGTGGAACTGGATATTAGTACAATAATAATAGGGAACTTTAATTTTCCTTTCTGAGAATTAGACAAATTTAACCAAAAATAAATAATAAGGAAATTAAGGAAGTAAATAGTATTTTAGATAAGCTAGATATGATAGATATCTAGAGAGAATTGAATGGAAATAGAAAGGAATACACCTTTTTCTCAGTGGTACATGATATATTTACAAAGAATGACCATATATTAGGACACAAAAATGTTATAGCTAAAAGCAGAAAAACAGAATTATTAAATGCTTCCTTTACAGACCTTAATGCAATAAAAATTATAGTTAATAAGGGACCATGGAAGCCCAGGTAAAACCCAATAGGAGAATGAACAACCTCATCTTAAAGACTGTATGGGTTAATGAACAAATAATAGAAATAATCAACAATTTCATTAAAGAAAATGAAACAACATATCAAAACCTTTGGGATGCAGCAAAAGCAGTAATCAGATGAAAATGTATATCTCTAAGTGTTATATCGATAAAAAAGAGAAAAAGCAAATCAATAAACTGGGTATGCAACTAAAAAAAAACTAGAAAATTACAATGCATATGTCCTTTGTGTGCTTTCTGTCCATTTATATGGCTGTCCACAAAGGATCCACCTAGATAGATAGACAGATAGATAGATAGGTAATACTTTGGCAAAATGAGGATTATAATAACTTTAGTACCTCGTGGAAACAGTTGCACATAGGTCACAGATTTAGAGCTGGAAAAGTCCTTAGAGACTACTGAGTCCAAATCCCTCATTTTGTAGATGAGGAAACTGAGGCACAGAAAAGTTACATAGGTCTTTTCAAGGGCAACATAGGTGTGGCAGCAGCTATCGTCACCAAATCAATAAGATTGAACTTGACAAATACTCAATCAACAAGTATTGATTAAGCACCTATGTAATGGGCACTATGCTAGGGACCAGAGATAGGAAGATAAAATTATACAGACCCTGTCTACAAGGAGCTTACATTCTCTTTTTGGCATAGTCACTTGATCAGAACCTATTGGGGACCTCAGTCAAAAATAATCCAGATGAATGGTTGTAGTTTCTGGCAACATCTAAATGTTTTGAGCACTTATCATTAATAGTGGTGTATAGTGTACACTACTATTATTTGTAATAACTGACATTAAGGTTTGCAAAGAACTTCAAATATTTTATCTCATTTCATCTTTATAACAGCCTGGCTTAATCAACTGGACATTGAATTTAAGAGTAAAAAAGATCTGAGTTCAAATCCTGCCTCAGACACTTACTAGCTGTATGATCTTGAGCAAGTCATTTAATCTCTCTCTGTCATCTGTAAAATCCTGTCATCTGTAAAATGGAGATAACAATACCACATACCTCACAGGGTTGTTGGAAAGATCAAATGAGATAATATAGGCAAATTATTTTACAAACTTTAAAATACTATTTAATTGGTAGCTATTATTATTATTAATCTCCTATAGATAGGAGTATATTGAGTCTCTGCTGGTTTGTGGATTTTCAATGCTTCAGTCTATACCAATACTATGCTTGGAATGAACTGGTGTTTGATTTCCCTACAAAGATATATTAGCGTGATATCCCTTCAGGTAGACATTACATTCTCATTGACTTACTTTTGTGCCAAAAAAATTACTTAATCATTCATTCCCTTCTCAGATAAAAGCTCTTGTTGTTGAAGAGCTCAGTAGAGGTCTTTAGGGTATGACTAGACAGGTATTTGTTGGAAATGCATTGTCTTCCCCCACTAAAGCATAAGCTCTTTGAGGGTAAGAACTGTCTTGTTGGCTTGTTTGTATATTCCCAGCATTGAACACAGTGCCAGGCACACAGTAATCATTAATAAATGTTTTTTCTATCCATCCATCTCTCTATCTATCTGCAATCACATTAGAATATGAACTTTAAGGTCCCATTCAACTTCAGGATTCTAAGAGTCTTGGAGTTGCTGTCTTTTGCCTCGTTTTGTATCTTTAGCATTTAGCACAGTGCCTGGCTTATAGTAGATCCTTAATAAAAGTTTACTGACTGACAGCTGATCTTGGACCTATTACTGCAGGAAGCAGAAGATGAAGAAAAAGATGGAGAAGTACAGGCCCTTTGAAGACTTCCTGGTGAAAGTCCTTGACAAACTGCCAAATTGTAAGCTGTTGCACCCTATAATTCACAAGCTTTTTTTTTTTTAACCTCAGACTTACATTTTGCTGCTTAGGTCACTCAGACAGTAATAGACCCTAGAATTAGAGGCCAGAGAATTCACTGTTGAGAAGGAATATTAGCAAAAATAATCATAATAAAAGGAGCTTGTATTTATTTGGCCAATGCATAAGGCTACAAAACATTTCACTCGTGTTATATTATTTTGTACAGCTGCCCTGAGAGGAAATATAAATATAAGCCTTCATTTTACAGATGATAACAATAATTTTGTTGTTGTTCAGTCATTCAGTCCTGTCTGACTCTTTGTGACCCCATTTGCTGTTTTCTTGGTAGAGATATTGGAATGATTTGCCATTTCCTTCTCTAGCTCATTTTATAGACGAGGAACTGAGGCAAACAGGGTGAAGTGACTTGCCCAGGGTCGCACAGCTAGAAAGTGTCTGAGGCTGGATTTGAACTCAGGAAGATGAGTCTTCTTGACTTCAGGCCCAGCACTCTATCCACTGCACTACCTAACTGCCTGATAACAATAATAGCTAACATCTAAATATTACTTTACATATATATCTCACAACAACCCTGAGAGGTTGGTACTATAATTATCTCTATTTTGCAGATGAGAAAACTGAGGCAGAGAGAAGTTACATGACTAGTCCACAATTACATTTTTTTAATTAATTTGTTTTGAATTATCAACAATCACTACAATTACATATTAATACATCTCTGAAGTAGGAATTGAACTGAGGTCTTCCTGAAACCAAGGCCAGCACTCTATCTGCACCATTTGTCACCTAGCTGCCTAGATGAGAAAACTACAGTTCACAGTGTTATAATCAGGAGAGTTGCGCTGAGGGAGAAGGAAAACAGCAATTACCTTAACCCTAATCAACCAATTAATCAATAGTCAACTGAACAACAAAGATTTACTAGATTCTCATTACGTGCTGAGGCAGCTAGGTGGTGTAGTGGGTAGAGTTCTGGGCCAGGTCTAGAGTCATGACGGCTCATCTTCCTGAGTTCAAATCTGACCTTAGATACTTACTAGTTGTGTGATCTTGGACAAGTCACTTAAGCCTGTTTGCCTCAGTTTCTTCATCTGTAAAATGAGTAGGAGAAGGAAATGGCAAACCACTCCAGTATCTCAGCCAAGAAAATCCCAAATGGGGTCATGAAGAGTGGAACACAACTGAAATGACTGAACAATATCAAGTGACACTCAGGTACATTGTGGGCCACATGTTTGATACCTCTGATCTATCTACAAGGGTAGATTGGAAATTCCAATTGGAATTTCTATTGGAAATATCTAATAGCTAGATGGCAATGTGGGTCTGGAGCTCAGGAGGGAGACCATATATATACATATGAGAAATATTTGCCAAGACATAATAATCGAATTTATGGGAGCAGACAAGATTACTGAGACAGAAGGTATAAAAAGAGGAGAAAAGAGCATCTGGGACAGGGCATTGGGGAACACCTACAATTAAGAGATGAAACATGAACAACAGATGATCCAGCTAAGGAGATTGAGAAGGAGCAGTCAAACAAGTAGAAGAACAAAGAACGGTGTCACGAAAACCCAAAGAGGAAAAAGTATCTAGGAAGAAGAAGCAGTCTGGAGTGTAAAATGTTGGAGAGAGGGTCAAGAATGGATCAGATTTGACTTTGGAGAAGGCAGTGGCAATTGAATGAGTCAGAAATAAAATTTCAAGGGGGCTGAGAAGTAACAGGAGACCTAGTGAAGGCACATTTTTCTATGAGTTTGTTAGTGTAAAGAAGAAATGAAAGCACCGGTTTCTCTGCCACCATAATGAGGAGCACCCAGGTGTCTTGGACAGAGTTTCTCAAACTGGCCTTTATACCATGTTGATAGAGCTGATTTCACTGGAAGAAGAGAGTATAGCCATGCCTCTTTGCAGCAAAGCCTTGCGGCACTGAGAATCCGGTTACCTGGCTGGCTTTCTCTGTCTGCCTATGCTGGATGTCACCTCTGGGAAAGTCTTGTGGATTGGAGCATACTTCCGGGAAGCTACCTAAAGTTCTAGGTACAGAGTACATCAAAGGACTGGACTAAGATGACTACATGTCAAAAGGTCAGTGAAAGCTGGGTCCTTGAAGATTCCTTCTATGGGTTTCCCTTTTCCCAGTTGCAAGATGTGCTTGCACTAGCCATTGTCAGAATCTAGCTCTACCAAGAAAATCCCAAGTGGGGTCAGTCACAGAGAACCGGGCCCAACTGAAAGGACTGAACAAACAAAAACAAAAACGATAAAAAAGTGGTCAGTGCCTTGGTAAATTTCAATACCTAGGCAGGTTCTAATTCTTAGGTAGTACTAGCTCATAGAGTATTCAGAGATGACGAGTGGACACACATACAATTGCTCATTTCATTCATGACTTAAAAAAAAACTACTCAAGGATTTGTAAATGTTTCTATCCATGCCTTTTTTTGTAAATTAAAAAGATTACGTCAACTCTGTGCACATTGCTGTTTATATCACAGAGAATAAAATCTTCTAATGCACCCTTAAAAAAAGTGGTCAGCAGTCAGAGGATCCTAGTATAGAGTAAGAAGGCACCTTAGAGAGTATCCACTCTAATCCTCTCATTTTACAAATGAAGAAACTGAGGGCCAGATATCTCAAACTCAACATGTACACAACTGAACTCAATGTCTTTGCCTCTGAACCCACTTCGTTTTCTGAACTTCTCTGTTTCTGTCCAGGAGGTCATCCTAACTGCCCTCTCCCTAACTATGAGTGTACCCCAGGTGTGCAACCACAGTGTTTTCCTCAACTCCTCACTCTCACATATCCCCTCAGTCATCAAACCTTTTTTGTTCCACAACATCTCTTCTCCACTCACACTCATCCTCGTCACCTCTCATCCGGATTATTGTAATAACCCAACTCAAGACTCTTCCCCTCTTCAATCCGGCTTTAACAAAGCCACCAAACTGATTTTCCTAAAATACAACTCTGACTGTGTAAGTCCTCTGCTCAGTTTTAGCAAGGTCCCAAATAGTGTAATTAATGAATCTCATGAAGTAGTCATTATTAGAATTTGTATGGCTTATTTCCATTGGACTGGAACAAATAACTATATTTTACATAATGATAAGGGGTAGCTAGGCGGCATAGTGGATAGAGTGCTGGACCTGGAGTCAGGAAGACCTGAGTTCAGTCCACCCTCAGACACTTAATAGCTGTGTGATCCTGAGCAAGTCGCTTAACCCTATTGGCCTCAGTTTCCTCATCTGTAAAATGAGCTGGAGAAGGAAATGGTAAACCATTCCAGTATCTTTGCCAAGAAAACCTCAATTGGGTCCAACAAAGAATCAGACACTACTGAAATGACTGAACAATAAAAACAATATAATTATAACCTCAAATAGTTCAAATTCTAATACAGGCAACCAGTGCATGAGATTCATTATTCACATTAATCAGGACATAACTGTAAGCTCCAGTGACTTCCTATTACCCTCAGGGTCAAATATAAACTACTATGTCATTTAACAACCTGGCCCAAACCTATCTTTCCAAACTTATAGCACATTACTACCCTATACATTAGACATCTAGGTGGCTAAAGCACTAAACCAGGAGTCAGGAAGACCTGAGTTCCAATTCAGCCTTAGATACTTACTAGTTGTGTGACCCTGAGCAAATCACTTTACCTCTGCCTGCCTCAGTTTCCTCAACCATAAAATGGGGGTAATCATAGCACCTACCTCCAAGGGTGGTTGTAAGGCTCAAATGAGATGATATTTGCAAAGTGCTTAGTACAGTACCTGGCACATAGTAAGCTTTTAATAAACACTTCCGTCCTTCATTTCCTCATTTGGTATTTAACATCTAGACCTCGACTCATCTTTCTAGACTTTCTAGTATATTACTACCCCACACACTGGAATCCAGGCAAACTGGCCTTGTTTCTATTGCTCATACATAGCACTCTATCGTCCACCTCCATACTTTGGTATTAGCCATCCGTCATCCCTGGAATGTACTTTTTCCTCACCTCCATCTCTCAGAATTCTTCGTTTACTACTACAAGGCTTAGTTCAAGTATCATCCATACGAGGCTTTTATTAAGCTTCCCAGCTGTTATTGTCTTCCTTTCAAAATCACCTTGTACCGTGTGTGTGTGTGTATGTGCGTGTGTACGTGTGTATGTATGTATATACAACATATACATATGCAGATGTATCGCTGTTGTGTCATTTTCAGTCATATCCAATTCGGTGATTCATTTAAGGTTTTCTTGGCAAAAATACTCCAGCTCATTTGACAGATGAAGAAACTGAGGCAAACAGGGTTAAATGATTTGCTAGTCACATCGTGTCAGATTTGAACTCAGGTCTTCCTAACTCCTGGCCAGGCACTCTGTCCATTGCACCACCTATATTTAGCGTGTGGGACAAAATCAAGAGACACTGATACAAAACAGGGGCACAGATGACTAGTTCCATAACTTATTAGTATAATAGAAAGGAAATAAACTAATAATTAGTAACCAGAAAGATTGGACTCCAAAGAGGTCAGAAAGAATGGGCAGAGGAGGCTGATTTGTGAGGCGAACATTTGTGGGGTTGAACTGGATTGAACTGAAAGCACCCTTTCAAGCCATACCAGTGCCCCCAATTTATTCTTAGCTCACAACACCAGGACTACTGCTGGAAATTGCTAGTGATAACAATTCAGATTTCTACAATGCTTAAAGTTTACAAAGCAGTCCCCAGGACAGCCTTGTGAGCTAGGTAGTACAAATGTCATTTCCATTTCCAAATGAGGAATTGAGGTTCCAAGAAGTTAAATAACTTATTCAGGGTCACTGAGTGTTGGAGTCAAAATCTGAACTCAGTTCTCAAGTCTAGACTCTTTCTACCGTGCCATCTATTTCAGGAACCTCAAGAATTCTGTTTCATAGAGCTTTACAGAGCTGCATAACAGTAAAAAGTGTTGGACAAAAGGGAGGAAGGGAGGAAGAAGGGAAGGAGGAAAAGAAGAAAGGAGGGAGGGAGGAAAGGGAGGAAGGCAGGAAGGAGAGAGAGAACGGAAAGATAAAAAGAAGGAGGGCGCAGCGGATAGAGCACTGGCCCTGGATTCAGGAGGACCTGAGCTCAAATCCGGCCTCAGACACATAACACTTACTAGCTGTGTGACCCTGGGCAAGTCACTTAACCCCATTGCCACCATAAAATAAAAACAAAGAAAAGAAGGGGGAAAAAAGGAGGGAGAGAGGGAGGGAGAGAGGAAGAAATACAATCAGTACTATCAGCATGCTACAGGGTAATTCACTGACCAGAGAAGCTTTTGAATTGTACCTATATGTACATAGGAAAAAGATGGATAATAAATACTTAAAGTTATTGAACATCTCCTACTTACATAACGCTTTGCAGTTTACAATTTGCCTTCCTCACAACATCCGTTTGAGGCAGATAGTATGCATTATCCTCTCCGTTTTATAGATGGGGAAACTGAGCCTGCGAGGGAGGAAGTAACATGTTCAAAGTACCAATAAGTGGCAAGGCGGGGAGCAGAACCGGGGTCTTCTGACGCAAGTTCAGTGTTCTTTCCAAGAGATCACTCTCCCTCTTGGGATTGCTGCTGAAATCAAGAGGTGACGTACGTTAAAGTTCCCTGTAATCAGAAGGCATTTAAATGTCAGCTACTACTGTTGCTGTGCCAGTGATAGGCACCCTGAGAGAAAGTTAATGAAAAGTTGAATGGAATCTCTGCCACCTGGTGGTATTGGCATATAACTGTGAGATTCACAGTCTTCACTAAATGGCAATCTTTTCATGAAGGAGGCAGAAAACAATCTCTAGGAACGAAAATGGTAAAAGCCCATCAGTTGAGTCGGGGTCCAAGTAGGCTGTGTCCCTATCCAGTCCTTCCCCTCTCTCTCTTCTCTTCTTCCTTCTCCCCCTTCCCTTCTTCCCTCTCCCCCTCCTCCTCCCATCCTTCCTCTCCCCCCTTCTTCCTCCTTCTTCTCTCCTCCTCCCCTTCCTTCTCCTCTTCCTCTTCCTCCCTCTCTACTTCTCCTCTTCCCTTTCCCCCTCCTCCCCCTCTTCCCCTCCCCTTCCCCTCCCATCCTCCCTCTCCCATCTTTCCCCTTCCCTCTCTCTCCTCCTGTCTATGCGCCACTCCTGAGCGCACAGCAGTCCACAACCTGTCCACCCTGACCCAGCAGTGACTCATGCGGGACTTCAAGAGACTCCAAAAGACCCCCCCCCACCAGGGTCAATGGAGCCCCATGGGAGAATAACATTATGGCGTGGCGCAGGGTCATTTTCGAGCCGAGGGGACCTGTTTGAAGATGCTGCCTTTAAACCAACAATGGAATTCACAGAAGACTATCCAAACAAGCCATCTTCAGTAAGATTTGTTTCCAAAACGTTTCATCCAAATGTCTATGCAGATGGCAGTATATGCCTGGACATACTTCAAAAGCGTTGGAGTCCAACCTGTGATGTCTCCTCCATTCCGACCTCCACACAGTATTTCTTGGATGAACCCAATTCCAAGAGTCCAGTAAACAACTAGGCTGCTCAGCTATACCAGGGGAACAAGAGAGAATATGAAAAGCGAGTTTCAGCAATAGAACAGAGCTGGCATGATTGTTGACCCAGGACTATACAGACGAACAGTCTAGACATAAGGAAAAAATTTTGTCTGTCACCTGCATTCTTTTCCCATTAGCATCATTACGTTTATTTTGTTGAGAACAAAACACCTGTGATGCTGTTGCCACCTTTCCTTTCAGAAGCTTTCTTTCCTCCTTCCCCTACAAACGTCAGAAAACATCTACCACAAAGTCAAATGTGTTGTAATTGTTGTTTGTCTTTCATTCTCAAAGAGGACCATAGCATCAGGAAGGTAATGCCACGAATTGTAAGTGAATTGGATTTAAGGGAAGGAGGGCTGTGCAAGGTCACCGGACTCACTTTCTCCTCCAGAGCCATCTAGGTCCAATGGCAAGATATAAATCAGGACAATTAAAGACAGCCCCCTATATTGTACTTGGGTTATTTGTAAAAGAATTACTAATATTGAATTCCTTTTTTACGGCACTTCATCTCCAATTTTAGGGTAGTATTAGTATATTGAATGTACTTTCCACTAAACTTTTAAAATTATAATGGTTATACACAAGGATACTTACTTATGCATAGCTTGATAACATGTTTCCATGAACATTTGAAACAAACTGGACTGATTAAACTGAGGATTTAGTGCTAGCAGTTCTTGAGAGTATATGAATTTGAAGCTCTTAGTACTTGAAGAATTTTTTCCACTTAGAATGGAAAACTTGATTCCACACAAAGTAATCCATTTATAAAATTAATCTGGGCTATTCTTGGGAGATGATAAGTTAGTGACAGGATGGAAAATGTTCTCAAATAGGAGCATTGTTTAAAAAAGAAAAGCAAACCATACCCACCCACATTTTCAGGTATCAACTAGAGCTATAATACGGTCCAGTAACAAGATATGACATTGAAGGGAAGATCTGTTGATTTTTGAGGTAGGGAGGTAGACAAACTCCCACTTTGGTTTTTATGTTGGTGAAAATGAGAGATCCATTCTTGGTTTTTAAGGAACAAAGCTGTCCCTATAGTTTTCTCCATCTTTCTTCATAGTTTAAATTACCCAGAAACCAAAGTACCTCTTGCCAAAAAAACATCTTGCTTCTTCACCTTACCCCAATCCTCAGCTACATACTAGCAGTAAGTACACTCAGATTCCCCACAGGCCCCCTCTTTTAGATTCAAAGTCCAGACACCCTTCAATCTAAGGCTGTTTGGACTTTTTGAAAACTGATACGTTTATTATGATAGTGTGAGAAACAGCTTACAAATGTTCTATTTATGTCTATGGTCATCTTTGGCATCTCAGTCCGTTCAAGTAATTTTGCACAAGTAGCCCATGCAAAAAATGCATTTTTCCCAGAAATTGTAAATTAAAAGTAATCTTAAATTTTTTTGAAAGCCTATCAGTTTCCAGATAATCCCTAGGAATGTCTTTAGGGTCAGAGTCCAAGGTGAAGAATATTTCTGTCCTGTATAGCTAGGAACATTTAACTTTGAAAAGGAAATAAAACATCATAATATTCTGACCAAGAGGCTAAAAGTGTGGTGCTTATAATCGCAAAGAAGGAGTCCCAGGAAGATTTTAATCAGAGAAGAAGTCTTCTACTCGAACTCTTCCCAAAATAATGAGAGAATTGTAAAAGGAGACTAAAGGGAGAAGCTTGTAAAACCATAGAACATAGAATGTCATAGCTGGGACAATAAAAATAATAACATCAACAATTCACAGAGACGTCCTAGAGATCACCCAGTTCAATCACCTTACTATCGAATTGACAAAGCTGAAGCCTAGTGAGGTCAAAACCAACCAGCAGCAGAGCTAGAACTGAACCTAGGTCTCATGATTCCTAGACCAATAATAATCATAATCACATCTCGTACTTATACTATATGTCTACTATATGCCAGGCAGAGGCTGCTAAGTAGAGCAGTGGATAGAGTGCTGGGCTTGGAATCAAAAAGACCCATCTTCCTGAGTTCAAATCTGGCCTCAGACACTTACTATCTGTGTGACCCTGGGCAAGCCACTTAACCCTGTTTGCCTCAGTTTCCTCATCTGTAAAATGATCAGGAGAAGGAAATGGCAAATCACTCCAGTATCTTTGCCAAGAAAACCCCAAATGGGGGTCGCAAAGAGTTGGACATGACTGAAAAATGATTGAAAAAAAAGATAAGGCAATCAGGGACGATGGAAACAGGTCAGGTCTGCTGGGACCTGATGAAAAAGGGCACCAAAATCAGTGAAGTATGGTAGGTTTTTTAAAGGGTTCTCATCTGGGTCAAGTAGGACTAGACATTTAGGGATCTGAGTGGTAAATCCAGACATGGTGTGCAGATCAAGATCATATTGTTGTCATTATTATTCAGTCCTTACCATTATGTCTGACTCTGTGACCCCATTCGGGGTTTTCCTGGCAAAGATACTGGAGTGGTTTGCCATTTCCTTCTCTAGCTCATTTTACAGATGAGGAAACTGAGGCAAACAGGATTGAGTGACTTGCTCAGGGTCACCTAGCGAGTAAGTGTCTGAAGCTGGATTGGAACTCAGGAAGACAAGTCTTTCTGATTCTAGACCTGGCTCCACTGAGCCACCTAGCTGCTCCTAGGTTATTAATTCATGAGAGGGAAGGGGAGGGTGAAACCGTTGGGGAATTGGAGGCTAGTTGATACTCAAGGCAAGTTAAATGACTGGCCCAATAGGAAATAATCCAAACTAGGATTTGAGCTCTGGGCTTCTAATTCCTTTCCCAGTGTTCTTTCTATTCTTGGGAAACCAGGAGAAGTTTCAGAATTGGGATGGCATTCCAGGGTCTTGAAAGATGGGTTGGAGGTACACAGACAGAGAAGGAAAGGAGGAAACTTGGGCATGTCAGGCAGAAGGAACTGACTGAGACAAGCCACAATGGCAAGTAAACATGAAGCCTTTTTATGGAACTAGAATAGCCCTTGCATTTCTTTCGCCATAAAAATGATTCCTCTATCTGATAGCACCTTTGATTCTTGGTCCCAATGCAGGCTTTAGAAGCTGGGATTTGAACTCTTCCATAAAGAAAATCATGGACCACTATGAGATGCTTTCCAACACCAACAAGAGATTAATAAAGCAAGTGTCCAGCCTCTCAGATGCCCGCAAGAAAGCCCAGAAAAATCTTGAAGCTTTGCAGCTGAAACACGCCAACAGCACACTTGTAATGCCATCCTGACATGACAGGCAGGGCCCCTGGGCATATTATTTCCAATGAGTTGGGGTATTTAGAAGGCAACCCAGTACCTGCCCTCCCTTGCCCCTACCCCTACTGACCATGAGCAGATGTGAGGTATCAAGTGCAGTGTGCTTCGAATTCCTTGTCTGAAAGTGTTCATAGTTTCCTAGACCTAGAATTAGAAGGTAATTCCCTGGGAAGTAGAACAGCTTATCAAGGCCAGGGTATCTAAAATAAAGGTGTGAACTCCAAAGGCTAGAAAAAAAGTCTGGGCTCCATCATGATAATTTCTTCCATCCTTTAGTAGGAACATGGAATTTAGAACTAGAGGGGGGATCTTTGGAAAAAGGGAACTAGAGGAATAGGGCTAGAAGGAACTTTATAGCATAGAATATGAGTTAGAATAGTGTCAGGGGATGTGCTAGAGCCATCTCAAACCAGCTGAAGAGCTGATTGTTAAATCTTCATTGTGAGCATTTACACTCAGAAAAAGGCAAATGCTACAAATCAGAGTGAGTTATTGTTTTGTTGATTGCCTAGACTTCAGAAAGTGATGGAGAAAATGTTAATAATTCAGATTAAACTGAAAAGTATAAGGTAAAAAGAAAAAAGCATGTCATGTGGCCAGTTGTTAAACATTTACCAGCACACTCCTGGAAAGAGTATTTTAAAAGTATTTAATTTAATCTCCTTATTTCAGAGATAAAGAAACAAAAGCCCACAGTGGTTATGCTAAGTGATCGTAGGGAAGCAAGCTCAAAACCTAAAGCATTAAGCTTAATAATAATAGCAGTAGTAGTAGTAGTAGCAGCAATGGTTCTCATTTGTATAGCCCTTAAAAGTTTGCAAAACACTTTGTACTTATTATATCTTGCATCAGGGAAGTGATTTCATTGGTACAGAGATTACAAGAGAGAAAACTCTACCAATGCAGAATGGCAGATTGCTCTTTAATTTATAATCTTAGGGAAGTTTCCCGGGGGTACTCAAAGACTGCATGACTTGACCAGGTTCACAAAGCTAGTATATGTGAAAGATTATTGGGGCAGCTGGGTGGCACAGTGGATGGAGCACCAGCCCCGAAGTCAGGAGGACCTGAGTTCAAATCCGGGCTCAGGCCAAACACTTGACACTTACTGGCTGTGTGACCCTGGGTAAGCCACTTAACCCCAATTGCCTTTTAAAAAAAATCATTAAATAGGATTTTTCTGGCTCTAAGGCCAGGTCTTTATCCACTATATCTAATGGCCTCTCCTCTCATGCAAGGTTAATAATAATTATTTTAATAATAGCATTTATATAGTGCTTTGTAGTTTGGAAAGTACTTTACATGTTATCTCATGTGGTCCTCAGAACAGCCCTGTGAGGTAAGTGCTGTTATTATCCCTATTTTACAGGTGAGGAAACTGAGGCAGATAGAGGTTAAGTGACTTGCCCAGGGTCACACAGCTAGCAAGCTTAATAATTCATTAAATCTCAGAGCCAAAAGCAACCTTAGAAAGCATCTAGGCCAGCTCCTTCATTTTACAAATGAGGGAACTAAGGACAAAAAGACAAAGTCATTTATCCAAAGGCATTAAGAGAATTAGTGGCAAGGACAGGACTTGAGCCCAAGGATTCCAGCTCCAAAAGGGGCCAGCAGAGGATGAGATGGACAGTTAATGTCATGCAATCAATGAACATGACCTTGGACAGACTGGGAGACAGTGGAGTTTGGAAGGGCCTGGAGTGCTATGGTCCATGGGGTCGTGAAGAGTCATGACCAAACAAAAAAATTCTGACTCCAAGTCTAGGCTCTTTCTGCAATCACATTCACACATCATTTTTATGCCAGCAGAGAGCATTTCAGTCCTAGAAGGAGGTGGGGGAGGGAAGGAGATATTTTAAGACTGGAGGAAGTTCTCCCATATTTCTTAAGTCCATTTATGGGACTGTCTACAACCTCCATGCATAGGGCCAAGCTTGTGGAGCAGACATGTGTTAAATGATGACCTTGGGCGGATAACCGACTGGGACCACTTCTATTTGTCATGCCTGTGTCTAGATATGAAGCCCTAGAAAGGTTGAGGAAACTTGCCCAATACATAGGCTGGCATTAAGAATAGAATAGAATAATGCTATTGAAAAAACATCTACTGAGCACCTGATACATGTGTTGCTATGCTAAAAGTTCTAAGAAAAACCCTATTCCAGGCCTTTCTTTCAGTATCAACTCTGCAATTTAGACTGTTGCCTGGGGCACTGAGAGGTTAAATAACTTACTTGGTGTCAAAAGCCAAAATGTGTCAGAAAAAGGACTGATTTCAACTCAGATCTTCCTAATTCCAAACTGGCTTTCTATCCACTAGGCCATGTTACTAATAGGACGGCTAAATCAGGCATAGATAGATAGATAGATAGATAGATAGATAACAAATAAATATGTGGATAGATAAACAAATGAATGAATGAATGAATAAACAGCTGAATAGATGAATTAATTAATATACAAATAGGTATAGATAGATAATGAATAGATGATGATATGATAGATAAATAGATGAATAAATATATATTTATATTTGATTTCTTTATATATAAATATATAATTGATTCAATGCATTTATATATTTATATAATATATTTTTATTATGTGTTGTATATAAATATAAATAGATTAATAAATAAATGAATAGATAAATTACTGAATTAATTAGTTAATAGATAAATAGGTAGACAGATAAGTGGATGAATAAATAGCTAGATAAATGAATAAACAGCTGAACAATTAATTAATTAATAATTACATAATATAATTATAATATAAAATAATATGATATATAATGGATATGTGATATAATAATTAATTAATAGCAATTAATTAAACAATTAATAGATAGATCGTAACTTTAGAGGGACATAAGCAAAGCAAAAGGCTAGGGAAGTATAGAAATCACATAGAGGGCAGATTAAATTTGTTCTGTGGTCCCGGAGGGCAAAATTAGGCCCGAAAGGAAGAAATTACAGAGAGGCAGAGCTGAGCCCAACACAAGCAAAATCTTCTACTTTGCAATTAGAACCTTTCTCATGTAGCCTAACTAAATATCTTCAGGCGAAGAGTAGGCCATTACTTGCAGCAGATTCGTAGAAGGGACTCCTGTTCAAATACAGGTTGGACTGAGTGATCTCTAAGGTCCCTTCCAGGCCTAGAGCTGTCTGATCCTGTGGTATCTGACTGGAGAGAATCAGGAAAGGCTTAATGGACATAAAAGTAATTGAGTTGGGCCTTAATATAAAACAGAAAAGGGAAGAAGGGATCCCTAGAGAAGGGAACTAAAGTTTTGGAGGGTTTTTTGGTAGATGCTAGCACCTTGTGGAACTTTTAGATGTGAACCCATTCTCATTTACATACCCTAGGTCCTGAATACTGAGCTCTCAACTTTGCAAAAGAAATTGGATGAGGTCAAGGAAAAAAACAGAGAGATGAAAATGAATGTACAGATAAAGAAAAGTATCTCAAAAGATGGTGTAAGTCTATGGGCTCTGTGGGTTACCCATAAAATAGACTGCATTTGTAAAGCACTTTTCTCAGAGCAACCCTCTATGAGGCACCTAGTGCAAATTTATTCCCATTTTATAGAAGAAGAAATTGAGACTCAAAGAAACAGCCCCACTTGTCCACAGTCACACAGCTAGGATTCATAGAATTCAAATCCTGGTCTCTTGTGTTGAGCCCTGGAATATTTTCCACTAAAACATTCTCCTTCCATATATTCCTCTAAAACCCCAATGAAACTGACATTGCAAGTTAAATAATAATAATCCTTACATTTGTCTAGTGCTTTTCACTTTTCACAGCAATTCCACATTCATTTTCATATTTTTATCCTCATAATAACTTTGTAAGGAAGGCAGAGAAAGGATCTATTATTCCCACTTTACCAATGAATAAACTGAGTCCAAGAGACACTAAGTAATTTGCTCAAAAATCACACAGTGAGGAAGGAGCAGAGCTAGGACTCCAACCCAGGTTTCCTAGTTCCTTAGCCAAGAGAAGTTCTTTTTAAAAAATTTTTAAACGTATTTTCTATTACATAGGGCAACTAAATGGTGTAGTAGGTAGAGCACAGGGCTGGGAGTCAGGAAGGTTCATCTTCCTAAATTCGAATATGACCTCAGACACTTACAAACTGTGTGACCCTGGGCAAGTCACTTAACTCTGCCTCAGTTTCCTCATCTGTAAAATGAGCTACAGAAGCAAATGGCAAACCACCCCAGTATCTTTGCCAAGAAAACCCCAAATAGGATCATAAAGAGTCAGACAGGACTGAAATGACTGAACAACAACAATATTTTATTAATATGAATTTGACAAACATGAACATTTTCTTATACAGAGAACAGAAGAAGAGGATTGTATATTACTCCAAGAAACTCTATTATATAGCACTTGGGGTTGTCGGGGATTTTTTTAAGTACATACGAAGTTTGTTCCAATATTACCCTACACGTCAGGGTCCCCTTCTGAATATCCTGCTATCTTCTGTGCATTTTTTTTAAGTTTTATTGATGTTTTTTTTTTCAATACTTCTCCACTCCTGCCTCGTAAACCCAAATTAAAAGCCTCCCTTTAAACAAATGTAGTAAGGTAAAGCAAACACATGCACTGGCTGTGTTTACAATGTGTGTCTCATTCTGCCCAGCATACCTATCATCAATCCTTCTGGAGTCATGATTGGCCATCAAGAAGACAATCGTCTTTCCTGACAACATCACACTCATTGATAAATCGTCCTCTTGATTCTGCTCATTTCACTCACTATACAAGTCCCCTTTGGTTTATCTGAACCTGTTCTTTTCATTATTTACAGTGTAATAACATTTCATTATGCTCGTGTACCATTATTTATTCAGTCATTCCAAATTTGATGGGCGCTCATATTGTTTCCAGTTTCTTTTTTTCTTGAACAAAAAATCTTATCATAAATATTTTCCCTCTTTATTTGATCTTTATAGTATAGGCCCAGTGATGTTATCACTGCATCAAAAGATATGCACAGTTTAATATTTTTTGAGTATTTCACCAAACTGCTTTTCAGAATGACTAATTCAGAGTGTCACAGATACTCTGTTAGCACATTTATCTTTCCACGGATTCTCTAACGATTGTCATTTTCCCTTTTTGTCATCTTTGCCAATCTGATGGGTATGAGGTGGAACCTCTGAGTTGTTATCATTTACATTTCTCTTATTATTAGGGATTTGGAGCATCTTTATATGGTTATTGATAGCTTGCTTTTCTTCTTTTGAGAACTAACTATCCATATCCTTTGGCCAATTATCTGTTGGTGAGTGACTGTAATTGTATCTTTGAATCACTATTAGACCATATTAGACCTTAATCACATACATTTGTATAAAATTTTTCTTCTGATTCCAACCATATTGATTTTATTTGTACAAAACTTTTTAAGTTTACGTGATCAGAACTGTCCATTTTATCCCCATGATCATCTGTTCACTACCCCCACTGGCTGCGTAATCACTTTCAGACATAGTTTTACTAAAAACTGCTTTGTTGGACATGCAGTCTCTGCCATATTGGTGCTCCCACTCCCATCCTGGGTTGTTATGGGGCTTCTTTTAATTTCCAGCTCTGACTTCATTTGAAGTTGTTGGCTATCTCTTCCTCATGAAAAGAATGAGCTCTGTGATGCACTTTTCCTTCAAAATCAGGTGTGTTTTTTATAACTCCTTTTTAAAAAGGTACCCTTCCCACAGCTGCAAGATCAGATACAACCCTAACGAAAAAAATATTTCTTGCCTTTTTTTTTTTCCTTTCTGAAAGCGCTGGTCTATTTCTAGGCTCTTGGCTAGAGGACATTTCACCTCCAGTGGGCGTTTCTTCATCCAGATACCCAGTTCATCTGGACAAAGAGCAGGGTCCTCATGCTAGCTAACATCCTCAGGCCTAGTCTTTTCTTTGGACTCAGTTTCCTGGTCAGAGACTTGAATGTCTGTCAGAGACTTCACTCCCCTTGGTAGTAACCATTCTCTGCATCTCCTGCTTTAAATCTCTGGAGCCAAGACTATCATAATCCCAGCCAGGGCTCTTCACTTCGGATTTCTTGAAATGTAGCTCTGAAAAGACAGGCTTCTAAAAGCCCATTGTGTTTTAAATGGAGCTACTTGACTCCGCCTTAAAACCCAAATCACTCTGGCTTTTGTAGAATGGCCGAAAATAGCCCCAACCCAAGCCTCTGTGGCTCACAGTTTAGGGTTTGATGACTTAGATTAAGCGTAAATAGCAGTTCTATTCTGGTTTGTCCAGAAACTTTGAAGGTGTTCCTCTCCTAGGTTGATATCTTGGTGATGGTAAATTAAACCATCTTTTGTCTCAACTCTTTCCTAGCCTTTAGTCATTAAATGGGCAAGGCCTCAGACATACTGAGACCTAGAAAAGACCTTAATTTAGAAGACCAAGGTCAACCCACTGCATTCCAGGCCATCACCAGTCATCTTGACCTTTGTCTTGCCACTGGACTTCAATGACTGGAGGAGAGAGTGAGGCCCATGATTTTGGGAAACCCTGTGTTGTACCAAGAAATCAGCGAGCAAGACCCAGATGTAATTTAAAATATGGATTTATTAGCGCGTGGCTGCAAGGGGTATGCACACCCAAATCAAGCAGCCCCGATCAGGAGTCAAGCTAGGGTTTATATGGAAAAGAGCATGGGAAAAAAATGCCAGGAACACTGATGAGGTAATCCAAAGGTGCAGGTGTCTGGGGGGGGGGCTATGGATGGGAAAGTACAGGGAATATACCAGTCAGGGAGGGAGATGGATCTTTGGAGTCTGGCAGGAGGAAGAGTCCTTGGGCTGGTCAAGGGCACCCTTCTCCCTCTGTCTTGATGAGAGAATGCTCTGCAACAAGGGAAAGCTTTCTCACAACATAGGAACTTACTGAGGAATTGGGAGGCTTCCAGAGACATGATCTGAGGGCTGGGGCCTGAGCAGCCCAGCTCTGTGTAGCTGTACCAGGGAGAGAGATAAGGGTTGTACTGAGGCCCATGCATGAATAACTGCTAGGCACAGTGTCCTTGGGCTGGGGAATGGTCACTGTCAGAGACAGTGTTTCTGAGACTAGGGAGAAATTGGGGCACAAATACAAGCACAAGCACCCAAGCACCCCATTATTACAGGTCAGGGATCACACAAACCAGACCAGGTGTCCTGGTCTCTGGTATAAACATAATTATCTAAAGCAATTATATTGCAAGCTTTCTTATCCATTTGCGTTGGAGGTATGGGCTGTGCTGAGCTATGCAAGAGTACATTTCACTATTGTTTAGATTTAGAAGGAAAGAGGTCTGGGGCAAGATTAAGCAGTAATTTCTGCTTTCCATGGCTTAAAGGGCCCTACTACCTAAATGGTAAAATAATGTTCTGCATTACACCTTCCCCACTCATGAGCAAGTCAGGACATCAATCTCATGATGTCATTGGTACTCTCAAGAAGGAAGGATCAATGGGGCAGGTAGGTGGCACAGTGCATAGAGCACCAGCCCTGAAGTCAGGAGGACCTGAGTTCAAATCCGGCCTCAGACCACACACTTGACACTTATTAGCTGTGTGACCCTGGACAAGTCACTTAACCCCAAATACCCAAAATAAAAAAAGAAAGAAGGATCAATAATAATGGCACCTCACCTAATAACTACCAAATAGCGCTGGGACTTGAGGTGCCCCGTTTTCCAACTCTAAACCTCTTCTATTTTGCCATGTAAGTGAACATGGAAAAGATTCACACACACACACACACAAAAAAAAAAAAAACAGCTGACGTAAAATGTTACTCATTGTCTCTTCTACTTGTTGATGAATTTGGTTCAGTTGTGTCCAACTCTCCATGACTCCATTTGGGGTTTTCTTGGCAAAGATACGAAAGTGGTTTGCCATTTCCTCCTCCAGTTCATTTTACAGTTGAAGAACTGAGGCAAATAGAGTTAAGTGTCTTGCCCAGGGTCACATAGCTAGTAAGTGTCTGCGGCCGAATTTGAACTCAGGTCCTCCTAACTCCAGGAGTAGAGCTCTATCTACTATGCCACTGCCAATCAAAAACCTAAAGGAATTTAATCTCAACCTTCCATGTAAAATGGGGTCGATAATACCCATAGAACTACCTTAGAGGAGTGGTTATGAGAATAGAATGAGAAAGCCATGTGTGTGAAGTGCTTTGTAAATACCCAAATACCATTCAGGGAGTCCCAAAAACCTTAATGCAGTTTTAAGTTTTAGTAGCTTAAAGCTGGAGACATCTTGTATAACTGTGCTATACCATAGTGAATTTGAAGGACAGTAGAGAGGAGGAGATCTGGCTGGCACCTGATTGTGGAAAGTGGCAAATGCCAAGATCAGATTCCATGGGCAATGGGGAGCCAGTGAGGGCTTGGGAGTCAAAGAGTGATGTTATCAGAGCAGTAAGTTTAGAAAGATTACTCAAGCCCTCTATCTCTACGATGCATGCCTGGCTTCTTAGTACATTAAAGTAGGAAGGAGCCTCAGAGATCATCTGGTCCAATCTTCTCATTTTACAAATGAGAAAAATGGGGCCAAAGTTAGGAACAGACTAACTCAACCACCACACAGTAAGAGGCAGAGCCAAGATTAGAACCCAGTACTGCTAACTCCAAATCCAGTGTTCTTTCTACTGCCTCCAGAAGAAGGTATGTGGCTCAGAGCAACATAGTCCTTCGTACAAATGGGTCTTCATTGTCCCAGAAAAATCCTTTTGAAGGTACCAAAGAAAAAAATCATGTTTTCTCCACCATTTCTGTAAATACTTGATGCTTTATCTTTCTGCTGTCATAAAAAGGCAGGAGCAGTGAAAAGACACAAAACTATGTGACTCTGGACAAATCAGTTCACCTCCCCAGGCTCAGTTTCCTCACATGTAAAATGGGGATAACAATACTTGTACTATCTAATCCATGGGGTTAATTGTAATTGATGGGGTATGGGCCCAAGTCAATACCTTTGCCCTTTGCACCAAAAAAGAATTTGGGTCCCATTTGTCTACTGGCCCCAGAAAACCCTTAAACTTCCTTTGACCTCACTCTAGTCTCAGATGGTTGCCTGAGGCTATACTCTACTCAACTGGCCTTTCCTTATCTCATATTCTTATTCTGATCTCTCTCTATCTCTCTAAGAAGCCTAGTCTTTGAGCCTAGTATAGACCCCATACAACCTCTTCCTTGTCTTCCCCACAACCTCCCAGACACTCCAAGTCACCCAGATCCTCTTTCCAGTCCCTCCTCCTAACACCCCAAAATTATGTGACTATATATAAGATTCATTTTGGCCCCCACTTAGACGCTGAGATTTCCTCATGCCCACTCCTCTTTACGGGCATCACTAATGTTCAGATTCCTTAAGAGTCTGGTCCATATGGCCCATCTCTAATAAAACTTTGTCTCTGGCTGAAAGAAGATTTGGGTTGAATTCATTCAAGCAGGGCCCTCTGTGCTGTGATTCCAGGGTCCTAGCACCCCAAGAATCTAGACCTCATCAGTGATAGAGTTTTATAATCTACAAAGTACTATAGAAAGGTGACTCTACTATGACCATTTGAACATACAATCTAGGAAAGCTACCCTTTGCACCCAGGTATTACATCTTCTTTTTCTCCCCACAGGACCAACATCTAGGGACAGCCATCACTAACCTGGCAGAGCAGTGCCAAATCCAACATTATGGTCCTTTAAAACAATTGGACTTATGCTGCAAACTGGAAATGATTCAGGTGAGTGAAATGAAATCTGCCTTTGGGCAAAGTAGCAGAGTAGAAAGAGTGGATTCTGGATTCAGAAGGTCTAGGTTTGAATCCCAGCTCTGACTGTGCAGCTGGATAACCAGGGACCAGCCACTTCACTCTGGACCTCAGTTTCCTCATTTGTAAAATTAGAAGTAGAAAGCTCTCATCAGTTTGTTTTGAGTAAAGTACAAGAGTGACAAATCTGAGACTTACATATAAAGGTGACCTTTGCAACTGTCTTCTGATTGTAACAACCCCACAAAGTTCCCAAGATATACCAACAGCTGCTTCCCCACCATCCATCAGTCACATGATGTAGCCCCTTGTTGACCCACATCCAATATGCAATAATGGGCACAGAAATCACATCTTATTTGTTATCTTTGTATTTCCTTAAGCATGTCAATAGGGCCTTGGACATATAATAGGTACCCCAAAAGGGGGGAAAAGTGGTAGATTGGAAAGAGCACAAGTTGTAGAGAAAGAAGACTTTAAATCTTTCCTCTGTCACATAATCCATGTGAAACCTAGGACGAGTCGATGAATCTCCCTAGGCCTCCCTTTTCCTCATTTGCAAAATGATGAGGATTAGACCAGATGGCCTCTACAATCCCTTCCAGCTCTAGAGTTAGGATGCTCTAATCACAACCACCCACGCTTCTCACAATCTCTGAGACCAAAGGGAAGAATCTGTGGAATCATCAAACATAGAACATCATAGCAAGAATGACATTAAGGGGGGGCAGCTAGTTGGCGCAGTGGATAGAGCTCCAGACTTGGAGTCAGGAGGACCTGAGTTCAAATCTGGCCTCAGACGCATAACACTCACTAGCTGTGTGACCCTGGGCAAGTAAGTCACTTAACCTCAATTGCCCAGAACTTTTATTTCAATAAATTTTCATCATAATTAGGAAAGAAGTTTTGCAAAAATACAACATGCAATTTATAAGAGGGAAGCAGTTCAGGGATTAAGGTCATGGATTCTGGAGGTCCTGTCCATCTATGGAGTGCTGATCCAGGTAGAAAGAAACTGGGTTTATTGGATATAACACAAAGAACTTGGTTTTGGAATTGAAGTAACTGAGTTTGAATCTCACTACTACTCGTGTGACCTCACTTCTGCCTCATTAGAACCCCTAATTTCCTTCAAGGTTCATCTCAAGGTGCTATCACCTATAGGAAACATTTCCCATTTATTAACTGGGAAATTATTATTTTTCCTTTCTCAAATTAACAGGTATACTTACCTGTGTTTAGTTCTATAGCAAGCACTCCCCATCACACATATACATTTAACAATCCCCACCCCTACCCCTTGCAGGAAGGGCCTGTTTTTTACTGTCTCTTTGAATACCCAATAATTGCATAATGAATTGAACAGAATTAAATTCTAAGTCAAAGCACTGAAGTGAAACTTAGAAGACACAGGTTCTACTCCTAGCCTTAGCACTTAAAATGTGTAAGTTTGTGACCTTGGGCAAAATCATTTTACCTCTCTGAGCCTCAGTTCCTCACCTGTAAAGCATCAGATCTAGACTAGACTTTTTCCTTAAGACACCCTTACAATTCTAATCTTATGTCCTATGTCCCAACTTTCTAAAGTCACTTTCAACACTAATGTGCCATGTTAACATGCCATATCTGTATTCTAAGGTCTCTGCCATCCCTAACATTCTGTGCTCTAAGATCTCTTACAGATCTAAAGTTTTCTATTTTATTTTCTAGTTCTAGATATTTTTTTAAGTTCTAAGGGAAAGGAAGAACAGTGAGCATAGGCTGGAGTAACTAAGGAAGGTTTCACAAAGGAAATCATACATGGATAAGATCCTATGAGAGAGATTTTTTTGTGTTTTTTTTTCACTCCCAGGAATTTATATTGGATAAAATGAAGACCAAAAAATTAGCTGAATCTCAAATGTTCTGGAATGGGGAACTCATAAAAAGTTACCCACAGAAGATTCAAGAACTGGGCAAAAGGAAGTCAGCAGACAGAATTTCATCTCGAGCTTCTCCTGGAGCCCCTATAAGCAAAATAACTGTTCCCCAGGTGGAAATTGCCGTTAGACTGCCCACACCACAAGCTCACTGCCTCAAGCCTCTGAACCTTCCCAAGAGCCAGGAGGTCTAAGAATGCTGTTTTTCCTTTCCTTGCTCACATAATTTAAGATGCATAGTATGTCCATACTCTTCTAAAGCTTGACACAAGTCAACAGGTTGGGATGCCTAAAGAAAGACTCTCAAAAGCTAAAAATAGTCAGCTTCCCTGGATAACAATAAATTGGGGAATCGGTCTTGGGTAAAAACATTTTCTGCTCCTGTGAAAAGAGTCAGACAAGCAGTATGGGATAGGAATGGAAAGGATTTGGGAGGCCTTGGTTTTAAACCAATCTACTTCCCCTAACTAGCAAATCATTTCATGTCAAACGAAGGAGTTAGATCTGATGGGCCCCTCAGGTTCCTTCTATCTCTAGAGCAGTGAGAAGTAACTTGCCCAGGCTTACACAACTAGTATGTTTCAGGGACACACTTGAACCCAAGTCTTGTTGGCTTAAAGCCAACTTTTTACCCATTATACCAACTCCCTTTATATCTCCTAAAGTGTCCAGAAAGGCATACTGCCTGCCTTCAAGACTGGCTCTCTATCCACCATGCCATACTAAAATATAAATTACAATACAAATATAAATACTTTGTTATATATTACATAATATATGTTGTATATATTACAATATAGTATATTATATATCATATATTACAATATAAAATATAACTATAAATTAGAATATAGATCCTTCCTATCAAGAATCTCCTCCGAGGGGCAGCTAGGTGGCAGAGGGGTAGCTAGGTGACGCAGTGGATAGAGCACTGGCCCTGAAGTCAGGAGGACCTGAGTTCAAATGCAGCCTCAGACCAAATACTTGACACTTACTAGCTGTGTGACCCTGGGCAAGTCACTTAACCCCAACTGCCTAACAAAATAAAGATAATTTTTTAAAAAATCTCCTCCCTTAGAAGGTTGCCTTTCAGGATTAATTAAGTTTGCAAAATAATTAGAAGAATGTTCTATCAATAGTCTATGAGTATTCTATGAGTAAATTAAAGCAGCCTACCTGAGCCAGAATGGTACGTGCCAGGGTGAAGGATTTTGATCAGATGCCCTTGTAAATCTGGCATGAGAGAACCTGGTCCTTCTTAGAGAAAGCTGGCCTTCTGCTAAGGAGCCCCCAGTAACAGGGTGCTGAGGAACTTCTCTCCTGCATATGGACAGCTGCCTCCCTCAGAGGTTTTTTGACAGATGTGTGGCTGATTGGGAATGTCAGATTGAGTCATAGGACCTCCCTTTTTCCATCCTTAGAAAGGGATAATAACCCAAGTTGCCTCATTCGTGGGGCAGGGCGGGGTTCTGGTAGTGGAGAGGGGGGAAGAAGGCCCAGAGAGAGGACTCACTTCAGTTCAGAGAGCAGGGCATCAAATTAACTCCCCCATCCCATTCTGATAGTGCCTGGACTGCTAATCTATCTCTTTCCACCTTTGTATTATATTTGTAATATTATTTCTAAGATATCCCTGAGGGGCAGCTGTGGTATTAAAAAAACACTGAGGAGCAGAAAATGAAAATACCTAGGTTCTTGTCCAGGCTCTGCCATTAAGTAGCTGTGTGACCTTGGGCAAGTCATTACTTCTCTAGGCCTCAGTTTCCTTGCCTGTAAAATGAGGGGGCTGGATAAACTGTCTCTAAGGAGATCATCTAGAGCCTATGTTCTAAGGTTCCTTCAAGCTCTTCCATTAGATTGTTGCAGGATTCTACACCTCTCCTTATTGTTTCTTGGGTGTTTTCTTGGCAAAGATACTGGAGCAGTTTGCCACTTCCTGCTTCAGTGAGTTAGGGAGTTAAGTGATTTGCCCAGGGTTACCCAGCTAGTAAGTATCTCAGGTTGTATTTGAATTCAGATCTTCCTGATTCCAGGCCCAATGCTCTATCCATCAAGCCATCTAGCCGCTTCCGTGTGTGTGTGTGTGCGTGTGTGTGTGTGTGTGTGTGTATACACACACACACACGTACATATACACATACATATATATATATATATATATACACACACACACACACACACACACATATACATGTCTAAACTGGGATCATTTCCATACGGAGGCAACATAACATAAAAATATATTATGTTATAATATATAAATTACATAAAATAAAAATATTATATAATATATAATATAATAAATAATATAAAAAACAGAGCACTAGATTCAGAAGACCTGGGTTCAAATGTTACTTCTGACACTTACTAGCTGTGTGAACACAAGAAAGACTCTTAAGTTTCTCTGAGCCTTAGGCAACTCTAAGATGGGTTGTGATGGTAGGTGGAACATGTTCCCACACTGATAAAATCATAGGTAATTTGACATTTCAACAAAGTCATGAATAGCACAAATTTTCTCAACCTCTTATCTTCAAAAAGATATTTTTGGATTCAAGTCAATTTATTAAACATTTATCAAGGGTCTACTATGTGCACGAGAGGCGGTATGGCGCTGTAGATAGAGAGCCAGAATGACCTGGGTTCAAGTCCTGCTTCTGAATACACTGGCTGTAGGATCACAGACAAGTTACTAAAATCCTCAGTGTTATTCTATAAGAACAGAAGACACTAGAGGCACAAAATTCCTCACCTGGGATTTTCCTATACAATGAAATCACAGGTCTGCTCCCTGCCCTATTACATGCATGGCAGTATGCTAAGGTGCTAGGGAAGATACAAAGATAAATAAGACAATCCCTCTCCTCAAGGAACCTGGATTCCAGTATGCACAATTACAATAGCACATGCCAGAATGTGATAAATGCATAACAGATGTATAAACAAGTGTATAAACCAACTATTCTTCAAGGCCCATGGAAGGAAAGGAAAGATCAGTCCCAATTGTAGGGCATTTGAGATGGGCTTTCAGAGATGGGTAGCATATCAACAGGG